TCAATTCCCAGAGTTCCTCAGCCAGCTGAGCTGGCTGAGGAACTCTGGGAATTGAAGTCCACAAGTCTTAAAGTTGCCAAGGGTGGAGACCCCTGGTGTAGTGAAAAGACTAAATAATCAAGTGATATGAATGCAACCTAAGAATCATATAGCTAAAGAAAGACAACCCAGAATCATTACCTTATCCCAACTCCTGGGAATGTTGAAATAAATTCCAAAAAAGCAAACCTTCCTTCATTTAATTGGACTCGACATCCATGATATTCTTTGGCAACATTAGAGAACTTGCTTTTTCAACTTTTCAGTTTCATCTAAAAACTTCCCAACTTCCCACCTAAGCATCGAACAGATATGATCTTACCTAGCTTTCTGAGATCATCAGCGGTGGATGGGGGCTGTCATTGAACAAAAAAATTGGCCTATTTAAAGTAACAAAGGGGTATTGGATAAAATTTGAAGTCGCTTTTGCAAATGTTTAAAGGAAACTTTGAAAAAATTAAGGCAATATATTTGATCTCATTGCATTCCTCTATTCTAGAGGAAAAAAACATTTGAATCAGTGTTCCCAGTAAGCTCAATTGTACTACCATGCTTAGAAATAAGGCTGTTTGCATGAATTTCAGGAAGATTTATGCCTGCAGGAGTTGCTTCTGGTCAGGAATGATAACTAACATCCCATCGCCAGTAGGGGACATTAAAGCTAAAAACGGCAGCTGAATGCTGGATTCAGACTATTAAAGTCTATCTGGAGTAAGGAGAGATACTGAAATCAGCCTTATGTACTCCAGATAGGTGGTCTTTAACTCTCTGAGTGAGAGAGTAGAAGACATAAACTGCATTTTATAAACTGCATAAACTGGTTGGCAAGTTGGCAGCTGGCTGGGGGGTGTGTCACAGGATTGCATTGAACTGACAGCTGTCAATGTAGCTTTAAAGACTTAAAGTTCTGGATGAACCTCATAATCATGTTGGATTTTCTTTTTTTCTACTACTCTTTTTATCCTTCAGAATGGGAAATGTGATCATATTTACCAGGTGAGTTTTTCCTCAATCGTTTAACAAAGGTATTTTTATACTTTTCTTTTCTGAATATACAGCCAAAGAGGGATGATAGCAGGGCTGAGATCTGACAGGGTTAGCTACTGGTTCGGTGATTTACGGTGTGCTTCCCTGCACGCTGCATGTGCGTGTAAATCTTCATCAGCTTGCTGCCTGGACAGCTGAGCAGCGCTGCATGCAGGGAAGCAGCGTTTGAAAAAGTACTTTTTTCCTGCTTTTTCAACCGCAGCTGTGCCTCGCACGGCAGCTGAGATTGAAAAAGCAGGAAATAAAGGTCAGGTAAGAGCCCGGGTGGGCGGGTGGACCAAAACAGCAGCAGTCATAGAACCGGTTCTATGTCTGCTGCTTTTCAGAGCTACTGTTTCTACAGAGTCGGACAGAACCGGTAGAATCCCACCCCTGGATGATAGTGTGGATTTCAGAAAGTTTTAAATGGATTAAGGGTTCAGATGGATTTGGATCAGAAGTCTGAAATTAACTGTAACAATCCTTTCCTGTGATAATCTTTTTAATGTTTACATCTGGAAACAAAATAACTGATAAGGTGACTTTGAAGGTTGGTTTTTAGAGGGCATAAGGAGATAAATAGATCAGTGGATTTCTTTAAGAGAATTTTGTAATTATTGCTTGCATGCCCAAAATTACTTTACAATTCTATTATCTTCTATAATAGAAAAACTTTACTATGCCTTTAAAGTACAACCTCCATAAATAAAACTAAAGGTGATATGAATGTGACTAAAAATGGTACCTGCAAGGAAAAAGATGAAATAAAGGATATATGAAAAGATGATATATTGGATGTAAAAACCAAACTAATTGATTATTTAACAACTACAAAACACACAGAGCTGAAGAATCTTCTTGGATGAGAAGCAAAATGTCTTCAAAGAAAAACTAGAAAACCCAGTTGCCTCTTGAAAAAGCACATTTGGGACAACCATGACCTGGGTGACTGAGAACCTCCATAGATACAAAACACACAGAAACAAAACCACAAGTTTGGTGTGGATAATTTCTTTCCAATGTAGTTACAAAAGGGACTTATTGAAGTTGTTAACAGTTTTGTGACAAACAGTGAAGATACGATGTGGATAACCAATTTATATTGGATTTACAAAAAGGCTTGATAGAAGTCTTAATAAGTTTGGGAGAAAAGATGAAGAGGGCTTGCAAAGAAAGCAGATACTAAGATATTTGAGAGGATTAAAGATTGCTGGGAGAAAGAAGATAAAATTGGCTTATTTGATCAGGGTTAGAATAAATCAGATCTTTATCTCTGATGAAGTTTAATGCATTTTTATTAGGATTGTACGAGAATGCTTTTTAATGTTTATTTAAAAACAAGATGGAGGAATTTGTTTAAATGGAAAAAGGAAGAATTTAAAATGGGTTTATTAATGTATTTTGTAATAATATGTTATCATTTCTGATCATCCTTAATGGTCTTTTTCTGATTAAGATGGAGTGAAGACATTTTAAAGATTTGTGCATAGAGAATGGATGGGTATGGAATAAAGAGGTGATTATTACTTTTTAAGAGACGGTGATAAGTTACACTTGGTTACACTTTTTGGGGCAGAAAGAAGAGGTTTCTTCTTTTTTATGCAATTTTTCTTTTTTATATGTTTTTATTCTATGTAAAGTGTATGTATTCTATAATATAATCTTTAATAAAATTATTACCAAAAAAGGGAAGATTTATTCCTGGAATTGTTGCAGTGTCCTAGAAGGCTTATGCATGAAGAATTGTTGCATTGCAGTTGACACATACCATTAATAGTTAGGCATGTTGTTTTTGTAAAGAGCATATTGAGCAATGAAATCCATCCCTTTGTTAAATGGAAAGGTTGCTCACGATTGTTTTTTGTAAAGTCTTCAACAATGAACCCTTTGCATTTCAACAATGAATCATTTCCTCCATCCTCTTCCTGTCTGCCCCTATACCACTCTTCTTCTAGGCATTCTTTTCACACATATCTTACCATCTGTTTCTATTCTCTTCACAAAGGTTCTTTCTCATCTCTGCTACTCAGTTGTGTTGCAAAACACAACTAATGACAAAACAGCTTGAGTAACCTATGCTCGACCAGCAAATATCCATTATAAAATGTATAATGATACTTCTCTGCTTGATGCTGTAAAGGTACAGGACAGGCCCTGTAATTGAACAACAGAACACATACCTTGAATGTTTACTTTGGAGATGGGTAGCTGACTTGCTGCTGGAGACCTCCTGTAGAGGAATGAATTGAAGCTTATTATATGGCTGTACTGGGATTCAGAGATGCCCATGAACACAATGCAGTTTTTTCCTATTAACATATATTAAGGGCTCACTCTATAGGAGTAGTGGGAAGCTGAAGGCTAGAGATGCCAGCTAAAATCAAATTTGAATGGAGGATACGCCACATAGTATCTTCCATTTAAATTTGCAAACATGTAACGGGTGAAATTCAATTTTTTTTCTCTACCGGCTCTGTGGGCGTGGCTTGGTATACTTGGTACAATAGTAATAACAACCGGGGCAATTTTTGTCTGATTCAAATCATCCCTACCACTTCTCCCGAGGGGGGGCGAGGTGGTTGAATTTCATCCTTGATGTGTAACTTTAACATCAGCTGCTAGTGAGATGATTCATCCATGCTAGTGTTTCTCAACTTTGGCAATTATAAGAAGTGTAGACTTTGACACAGGGAAAGCCACAGTCAGCAGCACTATCTGGGGAATTCGGGGAATTGAAGTCCACCTCTCTTAAAGTTGAGAAATGATTCTGCATGCAGTCTAAAACAGCTAAGTGCATCTTTTTATGTGAAGAACATTGGCCTATCCATATAGCAAGTCAATGCCTACAAACTGCTTGCCTCAAAAAGCAGCTGTCACACAGATTCAGTGTCAAGGGCTTCCATACTGCTTGTTTAAGAATGTTAAGAGAAATCATACTGCACACTCTCATGACTGAGGGGAAATGTGGAGGGGATGCATGCATCTGCATTAGAGTTCTCTAATCAGTCAACACCAACCGACGGTATTACTTTTAAACATGTAAGTATCATGCTTCTGATTTTGCCCTCATGAGATTCCACAGAGGAGAAAAACATAGTTTCCTCAAAGAAACATTAAATAAACCGGACAGCTAAATAATGATCTGGACAATAGACAATGAAATGTAATAAATATTTCACAAATACTTCCATTTAAAATTATGACAGGCTGGGAACAGGTGCTTTTTACAGGCTGTAAAGTACTCCTGGCCATTGCACCAACTTCCCCCCATCATGTGACCACATTTTAGGTCAGGGGTCTTCAAACTTGACAGCTATAAAACTTGTGTACATCAACTGCCAGAATTCCTCTTCCTGTCATGTTAGCTCAGGAATTCTGAGAGTTGAAGTCCACAAGTCTTAAACTTGCCAAGTTTGAAGACCCTTGTTTTAGGTGCTTGGCAACCACTTTGCCTTCATGTGACTGCAATTTGTATTTTTCTGGGGAAAATGCCCATTCAGAAGAATGAATGTGCACTTACAACTGTGGCATTTGCTTTTTGACTGCAGAATTGTTTAATGAACACAGTGCCTCATTTAACAACTGCTGCAAAAATGTCGTAAAATTGGGTCCAGTCACATGAGGATAACTGTAAATCTTAAGCAGGCTTCCCCAAATGCTGTACCAGATGTTTGTACAATTTCGGTTATATTTGACCATTGACAGGATATTTTCAAAATCTGCCAATTAACAGGTAGTGAAAACTGCAGGATAAATGTTATCATTATTGAACAGTTTTTTTTTTCATAATTCATTCCAATATAGACTGAATTTAGTGTAATTTTCAAAAATAGGGAAAGAAGTAGAGAATTTTGCTCATATTAATTCACCAAATTTGATTTTTTTTCAACAGGTAAAATTGAACAGTTTTTTTTGTTAATACCTATATTTCTCAGAGTTTTGCAGAACAATTCTTACCAAATGGCTAAAAATATATGTGTTTTAGGTAAAATTGTAAAATTGTTGATAGAGGTGAATTTGTGTGTGTGTGTGTGTGTGTGTGTGTGTGTGTGTGTGTGTGTGTGTATGTATGTATGTATGTATGTATGTATAAATTCAAAACCTGAAAATTGAAATAGGAATTTCCATGTCTTTTATTGTGAGGTCATAAGAAGGTTGTCTTTTTGAATATTTTGAAAGCTTTTTACCAGATCTTTCCTTGTGACATTATGAGATAATCTGACAACTGAATTAGCTGCCATTAAAGGCATAAAGCAACTGTAGCAGTTTATCAGATAAGTTTTCAGAAAGGGTTTTAGAGAATGAGAGGAGAATTTAAAGACTAATGTCTTTAAATTGTCTAATGTGCCTAGGGGAACTGAATAGCACAATGTGGGCAGGTGGGATGAGTGTAGGGATCCTGAGGCCAGGTCTAAGTGAAACAACAAATAGTATTTACATGTTCAATTTGGTTCTCAAATGTTTTAATTCAATCGTGTTAATGGTATGCATGTATGTATGTATGCATGTATGTATATATGTATGTATGTACACACACACAAATATATTAGGAAAAAAACTATTTTTAAAATACACCTTAAACACAATAAATATATTAGGAAAAATGTGGATGAAATACATATGATTTTTCATTAAGAATTTGTCTTTTTAAAGAAAACAGAAGTTGTTGCACTCAAGAGATAGAATAAACTAACAATAGGGAAAAAATGAAAAACCAAGATGAACCAAATTACATGAGGACCAAAGCCACAATTATCTTTCTGCAATTCAAATCTAAACTCACAATAACTGTTTTGGGGATTATCTTGTATTTCAATCAAATGAATATTTGGATTGTAACTTCCACTGATTTTAAACAGGACCTACTTCTGAATAGATAATTCATAGTTTTATAACCTTAAGGTATTATTACAACAGCTAATTAAAAAGAAAAATGAAAAGAAGTAACTTACTTGTTTGCTGTTCCCTGCAGATTAGTCAGTATTGTAAAATTATTTCTTACACTTCTTAAACTTGCCAAGACCTATTAAAATGTAAAAGTACATTGAATAACATAATATTGGAAGAACTCAAAATTTAGAATTATATAAATAAGCAGATGTTCTTAGAAGTCCCATAAATGTCAGCAGAACAGAATTAAACAAAAATATTTTACTAAAACAATTTGGTTTCAGTTTTTAAAATTATGTTTAAATCAATAAAATAACAAGGACTTATATTATTCAAATTGATTAAACAATATTATAGCTGACATCATATATCTGTAATACTAGATCTAGGTTGCAAAAATCTGGAAAATCACCAGATGGCAGCAAAGAGATAATAAAAATTCCAATTCTTTGCTTCCATCTAATAGCCATATAGATTTTTTGCAGCCCAGATTTATATAATACATATTTAACTGAATGTTATATTCATACATTTGAAAATAAAAAAAAATCATGGTCTATTTATTACCAATAATAGTTTGAAGGTATACAATAGACTAACTGGAAAAGAGAATAAAAGTTTATTGTGTGATTATAAAAAGCTGTTAATAGCTTAACAGTTAAAACAGGGCTATAGGCTCTGGAATTACTGAAATCTTGAAAAGAACAGCAATGCTGCAAAACACAAAGAAACTTAATTGCTTTGGCAATGTCACAAAAATAATCTATTTCTTGTATTTGTTTTCTTCTGAAATAAATTAGTTTTTCTATTTTCAAGTCTGGAATTTATAAATTGTGCATTGTTATTGGGAATATTAGTCACATTAAAGAGATAAAGAGGGCTAGTTTGCTTTAGTGGTTAAGGCACCAGACTAGATAAAGGAAGACTGTGAGTTCTAGTCCCACCTTAGGCATGAAAGCCAGCTGGGTGACTTTGGGCCAGCCCCTCTCTCGGCCAATTCACTTCATAAAGTTGTTGTTATGGGAAAAATAGGAGGAAGAAGTTGAGTTGGATATGTTCACCGCCCTGAGTTATTTATAAAAACAATAAAGGTAAGTTACAAATAAGTAAATAAAAAAAAAATTTAAGCTATATTTATGCTTTTAATACAGCATTTCTATAGGAAAAGCATACTGTGAGCAGTAAAATGGAAGCAAATTTAGCATAACATAGCTGGCAAGATTAAGAAGGCAAAGATTTACACAGATGTCAGTAAAAATAAATTTAATGCTATTTTTAGTAAATACAGAACCTGGAAATTGAAATAGGAATTTCCAGATCTTTTATTGTGAGGTCATAAGAAAATTGTCTTTTTGAATATTTTGAATGCTTTTTACCAGATCTTTCCTTGTGACATTATGAGATAATCTGACAACGGAATTAGCTGCCATTAAAGGCATAAAGCAACTGTAACCGTTTATCAGATAAGTTTTCAGAAAGGGTTTTAGAGAATGAGAGGAGAATTTAAAGACTTTGAGGTCTAATGTGCCTAGGGGAACTGAATAGCACAATGTGGGCAGGTGTGATGAGTGTAGGGATCCTGAGGCCAGGTCTAAGTAAAGCAACAAACAGTATTTACACGTTCAGTTTGGTTCTCAAATGTTTTAATTCAATTGTGTTAGTGGTAGAAACTGTATTACAATATTTGGAACGTACCTGTGCAAATGGTGTCACTATCAGGTCATCTCCATGTCTAATAAAAAATGAAAACAAAAAAGAGCATGTGTTTTAGATTTTGAAAAATAACTGTATAACTAAGAAGCATCACAATATCTATTCATCTTGTTCTAAAACTTTGACTAATTTTAAGTTTAAGTTTCATATTCATGCACAAATTAAGATTATAAAGATATACAACCAAACTTGTGAATAGTGATTTTAAATTAGAGTAGCAAATGAAGTCCTTTATTGCTGTATAGTTTTTCTCTCTCCAGAGTTGGAGTTGTTCAGGATTCTATCCAGGGATGGGATTCTACCGATTTGGACCGGTTCAGGTGAACCGGATGTTAAAGTTACATCTGGTTCATCAAACCGGTATTTCAACCGACCGGCTGGTCCCACCCACCCCTCCTCTCCCCTCCCAGGAGTCTCCATGTGATGTAGGTAAGTGCAGGGTCGTGTGGAGGCTCTGGGAGAGAGAAAACAGGTCTTCCGGAAGTCTGGAAACAGGTCTATTTCTGGCTTCCAGAGGGCCTCCAGAGCCCAGGGGAGGCAGTTTTCGCTCTCCCAGAGGCCTGGGACCTCTGGGCCCTTGGACCTCCGGACCCTTGGAAGGGTGAAAAGGCCTCCCCCGGGCTCTGGAGGCCCACTGGAAGCCGGAAACAAGAAGTTCTGGTAGGCCACACCCACCATGACCATGCCCACGCAGCAATGGGCAGCGAACCGGTTGTTGGGATTTTTGAATCACACCCCTGATTCTACCTTTTGCACTCTGACTTTTTATTTTTATAATTGATTCAAAAATTTCTTCACATGATCCTATATACATTTTCCCACAGCATATGTATTAGAAATGGCAACTTTCAGTGTACAGGTTAGAGATGCCTTTCTATTTAAAAGAAAAAAAGAAAAATATCCATCATTTTATGCATTTTAGTAAGTCTATGCACATTTAAAAACGATTTTAAGAGATACCTCAGAAAATATGAGAACAGGCATTTAGTACATAAAAGTAGGCATGTCTTTTTTCAGCTTTGCACATGAAAAGCCATTGCTGCTTTAATGAACTGATTGATCTTAAGTGGGTCGTTAAAGCAGCCATGTCTTTATTCAAGCTTGTATGAGGCCTGAAAAAGACACAGCTGCTTTAAAGAGATGCTGGGTTCTATGATGAAGTGTAATGAGGAGTTTGATTCCCAGGAGGAAGCGGTGATTTCCATAGAAGGAAGAAGCAACTCACTTTAGCCCAGATATTAGAGAGAGAAAGTGGGTGAAACAGCCCCTCCCTCATAGTTTACAGACTATATTGTAGATGCAGATAGTAGAGTTTGGCAAGATTTTGTCTACAGCAATAAAGAACTCAGCTTAGAAGAATTTCAGTTGTCATTCTTGGATTTGGGCCTGACAGGTTGCAATTTCTGGGCATTTTAAAGTACCCCTTGCAAATTGTTTTTAAGCATGCACAGTCCTAGTATTTAAACTGTATGGATAAATTGTATGGATAAATCAAATTAAATCATGAAGTTTTGGAATTGTTTGCCTTTAATATTGAAATATTTTCTGTCTAAATGTCCCATTTAATTACAAAGTGAGTCCAGTGAATCATTTTAATATATGTGTGGCTGATTTGAAATGATATTTCTTACTTTTTAAAAATTATATTATTATAATAAAGTGATACTCTAAACCCAGGTTCAAACTCCCCATAGGCACATAAGCCAGCTGGGCGACCTTAGGCAAGTTATCCCTCTCAGTTCATACCAATATTAGTCTGTATAACAAGCCACTGAAAAAAGAACACCTAATTGAATCACACATTGATGATATTGCTCTAAGAATTATAGTGAGTGCTGTACAAAATGAGCAGACCCAGTAATCAACAAACAACAGCCTTGTTAAAAACCTTTTTTTCTACTTTATTTGGCTATAAATAATTACTGCTAATTTAAATGGTTCTCTAATAAGAATGTATGTCCAAAGAAATGAAATAATCCAAGCAGAAATTATCATTTTCTTCTTGCAACATAAGGCAATAAAGACTAGGAAATTCCAGTTAGGTTTATATACTAACTCTCAGTTGGAAAAAGGGCATAACATTATGAGAAAAGGCCATCTTTGGATTTCCTGGCTTTTGTTGACATACCCTGCTTTTAATGCTATTTAAATACAGACGATTTGTCTGGATTTTCAATATAGAAAATTAAATAATAAGTATACAAGAAATAAAAATAAACAGGTGTTCCTCATGTAAACTGTGATTATTCAAGCCCACCATTACCACTGTTGTTCCAGAAGTTAGAGTGCAACAGAATATTGTTCTATATTCTTAGTTTCTAAGTTGTCCAGAATTCCAGCTTCCCAGTCATTCCATTCCTTGTTCTCCCAAGTCCTGATGATCATAAAAACTCACTCTTTATTGGGTTGTGGTTTTGGCAGGCAGAAAGGGAATGTTCCCTTTGATTCCACAGAATATACAAACATCTTTCTTTTCTTTTTCAAGACGGCATATTCTGTTCTCTCTGTTGTTACGCTTCAGACCTGACGATATGGAGGTACTAATTTTTTTTAATTAGAAAGAGGTTGTTGCTGTTTGCCTGATGATGATATTCATGAAGCTGATAGCAATAACTACCCACATGATGATTAGACACACATAATTGTCTGATAGTATCAGCTTGCAAACTGGTTTCACTTTTTTGAGAAAATTCTTCCTTTAAGAAGTTGCCCAAGGATTATTCTAGATCAACATTTTCCAATTTGTTGCCTTCAGATCTGTGGAAACTAGAATTTCGGTCTGCTCAGTAGAAATTCTAGGATAAAATAGATCTACTTACTGTTCACTTGGAACAGAAGAATTCCGTGACATGGTCTTTGGTGACAGGTCATAGTCACTGTCCGATCGATAAAGAAATGACTCTCTACGTTGGCTATGCCCTGGAAATGTGGTGTGGAGCACAAGCCCTGAAGAAGAGCCAGCCTGAGGATCAAGTGGGCTACGACCAGGTGAGGGGCCATTTTCAACATCAAAGCTGTGAACAAGAAATTCATGAATATGATTGACATTGCATATTTATCATCTCAATTATGACTTCATTTTACATTTTCAAAGCTAAAAATGACAATGTCATTAATTCCTGCTTATCACAACTGGGAAACAGTGGGTAAACACCTAATCAGAATAATGTCTTTTGAAAGCTGACTGCCTTTACATTCTTGAAGACATTTGTAACTTTGCAATTGTTTAGTTTTTGCTTGCCAGCAGCTCGAATCTTCAGTGATCCCCAGAATTCATTTTCCAAGCATACTTCTTAGGCTCCTTCTATCCTAAGAGACACTGAGAAATATAAGCATCTATTTGTGAAATTAAAGTAAGCTTTTAGTATTCCTTAAAAGTATTGATTATAGTTGTGGGAAAAAAGAAATGAGACATCAAATTGTATCATAGAGATCTACAGTACAAAGAAAACTATAGAGTTAAACATTTATTTCCTTAAACAGTTGTTAAAAAAATAAAAGCATGTCTATTTACCTGTAACAACCCTGTTTCCAAGTGATTTAAAGTTACTGAAGTATTATAGGGTATTTATAAAAAGTCCATAAAGTGCTATCAGCTCTTTGTCTACAAATATAGAACAAAAATATATGGCTAGGAATTGGAAAAAATCAGTATACGTACTTATACTGAAAAAAGTGTTGCAAATAGGAAAAAAAAAACATTAATTTCTTAAACCTGAAAATATTTGTTTAACATTTGACAAAGATTGATAAAGCCATACATGTAGAAAGACAAGCTAGAGGAACAGGGAGATTTCTGAAAGGACAAAGAGTCATGAAATCAGGTAGCTAATATAAACTAGATAACAAAAAAGGAAGAGAATAAAAGCAGATTTATATTTGCTTCACTAACAACAGTCAAAACCTTTCATCATGTAGGTCATGGCAGAATACAATCCATGTTACAACTAATACATATACCAGAAAATGTGATTTATTTTCCTCAGGAATCTTATAATGAAGATGAAGCTATTGAAAGAGCTGAATCTGTAAAAACAAAGTGGTTGTACAAAAAGTATTGTAGTTAAGGAACTGTACTCTTTTCAGTTTTTCTCCATCTTACTCTAATGGTTTGTGGAAATGATTTTGGGAGACAGGAGGAAGAGCTGCAGATTGGACAAAAATCAACTGAGCATGCAAAAGAAATGGGGCGATGGCAAAAGTCTCAGAAGGAACTATCTCTAGTGTCTTCGACTAAAAGTGGGAGGGAGGAAGAGATTTACGTTCCATTAATCTTACAGTACAGGCAGACTTAGTTCTCTGGGCATGCTTCTTGTCTGGACTGCCTTGTAAGGCTGACATCACTCTTGTAAGTCTGAAAAATTATCAATAATTAAGTAATTCAGGTTTTATATTTCATAGATTTTATCATCAAGAATAACCGCTGGCAGCTTTTATAATTGCAATAGCAAACATATGGCTCAGCAGCTTTCTTCCATACACTGCTAAGTCTAGCAATTTTAAAATAAATATTTCTGCAAATAAATTGCCCAACTGAACAATATATAGTATTTACTATCTTCTCTTACAAATTGTATATAATGATAGATTAGGGAATTTTGAAAACAACTGAATCTAAAATTCTCTTTCCAACCTTTTTTTTTTTTTTAATAGGAAGGATTTTATTTATAAAGTACAGTAGTTACATCAGTTGTCACCTAGGAAATGAAATACTCCCTGCAGAGTAGATTTAGAATGTAGCGCTAAGAACGTTACCTAAGTATGTGCCTCTCATACTCATATCCTTCCTGCTCTGAGTCAAGTACAATGCAAATCAGAAGGAACTTCCAGATCTTTGAAGGAATTCCTATTTTGTTGATTCAAGTGTAGCATTTCTTTGAAACTGTTCCACAAAGCAAAGAGGGAACCTGCTTCAATGCAATGCAGTGGAGCAGCTGCTTCACTTCACTCAGTAATACTGCTTCTGCGTAGGCAAAAAAGCTCAGTCAGCACATTGTATGTTAATCAAAGTAAGCCACCCTCAATTAGCAGTACACATCCACAAGTGCTTCATTTGGAGGCACCACCCATAATCTTCACATTCCTATGTAATAGTTTTTCCATTGGTCATAGATTCTTATTATACTATACTTGCTTCATGTGTATTCATGAAAATACCAAGAGCTTCTAGGACCATTTAAAATGAAGGATGAATTAAATAAATTATGGAAGGAACTTCACTTTAGCAGCCTATGGAGAAATGGTGCCTTGTCCTTTCTCTCTCAACCATTTTTCCCATTCGAGATGGCTCTCTTGCAGCTTTCTAGCTGGATTGCACATTTATCTTTGGAAGTCTATTGAACAGCATTTGCATAGTTATCCTCCTCTCTCTAATTTCTCTTCTTTAATTCCATTCTTCCTGAGTTAAATTTTCTATGGAAAAGTTGGCCATAGATGCATTAAAATATAATTTGTACAAGGATAATTTGGTCCTTTAAAAATTAATGTGTGCTTGTGAAAGGTCCTGAATCTACAAGACAAAGAAAATAGATGCCTCTGAATTATAGAGTTGGACAGGGCTGCTAAGAAGACTATATAAACTGTAAGAAGAACCAATCACTCTCATCCAGATAAAATCTGACTGCCTTGGTACACCGAACAAACCAAAAAATTACATACTTTGAACATGTAGTGTGACCAGACAATGGATTAGAAAAATGGATTACTCTATGATGGAAGTAGAAGAAAATGGACAAGGTGGATGGACTTGATCAAAAAGGTTACTAGAATGCCCTTGAAAATTTGCAAGAAAAAAGAACAAAATGGGCAACTCCCAAGAGTTGACTTGATGACATCCAGCTTGCAAGCTAATTATATTAGTCTGGCCCTATATCATTATAAACATGTAAAAAGTTAGCAGAATCAGATCACATGTCTTTGGATCAAGTCCATCATTCTGTCCTCAACACTATCTTATATTTCTATCATATTGACAAATGTTTTATAAATCACCTATGGTGTTTTCAGATCCTGAAATGAAAGTGTAAGACCTTATAAGAACCGAATACAGAACTTTCACTGAACTGTAATCTTTTTCAGCATCCATGATTTAGTCAATATTGTGCAAATCTGCATTTTTTGACATTAAACATTTCGATTATGATGAAACTAGATTTCATTTATGGCTTATTATTGACTCTACATCAGGGCTGTCAAACTGGCAGCCCGTGAGAGCCAGATGCACCATGCGCAGGCCATGCCCACCCACGCTCCGCAAAGGGAAAAATGTCACGATATGTCACATGACAGCAATATGACATGGCAAGTTTGACATCCATGCTCTACACTGATGGAAAAGCATTAGCTGTCCATAAACCACTGAGAAAAAGTAACTTTTCTAATATCTCTAAAAATACAGAACAAGAACAAAATAGCCACTCAATCATATTTTAAAAGTTTGCCATTCTGACAACTTCTGGTCACTGAAATAGCAAAACATCTGGAAGGTACCAGTATAGGAAGGCTGACATACACTAACTATGTTTTTAACTCAGCTCAGCACTCACTTAGAATAGAGATACAGTACAGAAGCTGTCACATTCCAGATGGTGCTGAGTTATGATTCCCAGCATCTGTGCAGCTGGGGATGTTTGTACAGTTCATCTGGAGTATTGTTGATTATTTGGAACTTGTTCCAATGAGTTTGTTGTGAGCACTACATTTGTCACTGATTATTCAACATGGTGATGAGTAGCTAAATTCTGGTAATCTGGACAACTTAAGAATTCAGCAGATTTATCAGAGTGGGAAAAACAGCTATTATATTTCATGCATTCATGCATTCAAAACACACTAACTAGAACAGCTGTTCTGAAGTAATGTAATAAATCCTTACACTGAAGAGAAAAGCAGTCTACTTTCTTTCTTTTTTCTTGTTAAAATCAAGGTACTCCACAATGATTCCACATGTACCATGAAGTCAACTCACAGGGGTCATGAATTATATAATTTGTGTCTGACACACAGATGTCATTTGTCTCCCTTCTTCTCTACACCCAGGACTATAATTTATTCCACATGAAAATCAGATTCAAACTAAAAATTTAAATAATAACAGTGACTCTCAACTGAACTGAATTTGCTAATGGCTTGAACTGAATTTGCTAATGGCTTGACTTCTTAATAACATCTCCCTCTTTTTACTGCTTATATAATAAGGTCCGAGAAAGTGTGTTTGTTTGCTTATTTATTTATTCTGTTGTCAATGATGCTTCTTTACATAGCTGGTTTTGCCTGTTTCAGATTTAGTTGTTCTTTACTGGCCATTATTCTTCATTCAACATCACATTATGTTACAAGATTTCAACTGTATGATAATGCTTGCAGATGATTAATTCTAACAATTATTCACATTTAATTACTATAATTATGTTTTAAGAATCTCGACTGTATTTCATGTCAATCTTCACAAAATTCATTCCTAACTTGAGAAATCAACAAGCATCTGAATCTACTTTGCCCAGAGAATGAGTGGATGCTATCTGAAATCTAATATGAGCCCAACAGAGAATGTTTTCACAGCTGCAGAACTTTGAACTTAGCTTCCACTTCATCTCCCAAGAGATGTTAGATAATGAAGTTTTTCCAAAACTATCTCCATAACATTACTTGAGATATAGGGTAGAAACCAGGTTTCACTGTAATCTTTATGGCAGTAGAAAGTGTGAAAAATTATTCATTATCTAGCTTTTCCCCCATAATTTTAGTAATCCTCTTGAATATGAGGGTTTATATCCATGATATTCTAATAAAGCTTATATATATCCAGCTTCAAATAGAGGTATGGTTATTTAAAGCTGAAGTTTCTGTATTATACACACACATAGTCACACACAGTCTCTCTCTCTCTCTCTCTCTCTCTCCCCTCTCTATCTATCTATCTATCTATCTATCTATCTATCTATCTATCTATCTATCTATCTAT